TGGTCGCTGGGCTCTGACCATGCTGTGTCACCGTCTGATGGCGTTTTTGGGGTGTTTTGGTGTTGTCCCCCTCGGGTTGGGCCTTGTGGATCACCTGCCCAGGCCAGGAGGGTCTCCTGTCGTGGCTGACACAGGGACCACTGCATCAGGCAGGCCCTAAAGCATCCTTACCACCCCTGCTCCCATGGGAAGAGCAGCTGAAATCCCGAGGAGGAGCATCCCCTGTGCCCTGATCTCTGCTTCTGTAGGAATAACAGCTGAATTCCCAAGGAGGAGTATCCTCTGTGCCCTGATCTGCCCAGGCCAGGAGGGTCTCCTGTCGTGGCTGACACAGGGACCACTGCATCAGGCAGGCCCTAAAGCATCCTTACCACCCCTGCTCCCATGGGAAGAGCAGCTGAAATCCCGAGGAGGAGCATCCCCTGTGCCCTGATCTCTGCTTCTGTAGGAATAACAGCTGAATTCCCAAGGAGGAGTATCCTCTGTGCCCTGATCTATCCCCTGCACCCTGTGCTCCTGTGGATCTCTGCTTCTGTAGGAATAACAGCTGAATTCCCAAGGAGGAGTATCCTCTGTGCCCTGATCTATCCCCTGCACCCTGCTCCCTGCTCCTGTGGGAATAGCAACTGAAATCACAAGGAGGAGCATCCCCTGCACCCTGATCCTTGCTCCTGTGGGAATAGCAACTGAAATCCCAAGCAGCATCCCTTGTGTCCCGATCCATCCCCTGCACCCTGATCCCTGCTCCTGTACAAGTAACAGCTGAAATCCCAAGGAGAAGCCGTGCAGGAGCTGCCTGGGGATCCCTGGGAGCAGCAGGGAATGTTATCCATCTGGAAATGTGATCGTGGGCAGCATCACGTGCTGCAAAGCCACCACCACAGGGAGGGCAACGAGTGCCCTTGGCACTGGGAGCTGAGGCTGATGTTTGGGGGATGTCACCTCCCTCACCCTGCTGGAGCAAGGCCAGGGAAGCAGCAAAGCGGGAAGGTGAAAGGGCTGGAGCTGAGTGGAGAAAAGGAATGATTGAAGTGGTTTTGTGTCTGTAAAACAGTGAGTCAGCTGGAGCTGCTTCCCCTGGCCATCCATTCCCTGGGCTTACTTCAGGCCCAGGGTTTCAAAAATAGCCTCTTTCCTCCTCCCTGCCCATCAGAATCCTGGATTGTAGGAGAAGAGAGTGCAAAGCCAGCAGTGGGGATGTTTGCCTCCAGGTGGGAGCTCAGGATGCAGTCCTGGTTGCACAATCACTGGATAAATCCAAGAAGCAGTTCCTGAAGGAAGAGACCTTGGTTGGGAGTTGTCTTTGCTCTCAGGGTGTGCTCCAACCTCTGCCTTTCCTGCCTGCCTTGTGTTGCAGTATGGAGGGAGGAGGAATGGGCCCCTTCCAGGTCGATCTGGCTTCTTGCCACTGTGTCTCCTCCAACCAACCCTGAAAACATTGGCTCCATTCACAGGCTGAATTAGGTGAAACCCCAGAGCAGCACATTCCACAAGTCCAGTTGCAGACATCAAGGAAAAGCTGTTTGTCACACAGAAGCTTCTCTTAAGCATCACCTCTTGCCCACTTGAGAAACTCCTCTGTTCCCAACCGCTCAATTCCTGTGCCCCTCACTTGCCCTGGTCACCTTTGGAGCCTCAGTTGGGGTAACACTGGTTAGTTCTTTGGGTCATGGTGTGTCTGGAAGGAAAAGTTCCTCGTTCAGATGGATATTCCCGTAACAAGCTAAGGCCTGGACCAGGATCACAGGGGAAGGCAGGGACCAGACTGTCAGTCTGGTGAGGAATAACAAAGGTGATGGGGAGAAATCTGCTCAGGATTTATGAGGAAAGAATAAAGGAATGAGAACTGTTTAGTCTAGAGATGCCTGAGGAGAGACAAAAGACTTTGAATGTGCTGCAGAAAGAGAAGTTTTTGTGCTGTGGGGACAGAACAAAAAATCAGGGACTTAAATGGTTGTGAAAGGGATGTAAACCAGCCCAAAGATCAGGTTTTCCCCCTCTCAGTGCAGTGATGTGTGTTTGTAAGAGAGAGAGAGATGGGAAACTGCTTGCTGGGAGGACTCTATCAGTTGGCTACAGCTACAGCAGATCTGTGGCTGATAGATCCAGACTGGGCTCCTCTCCGAGGCAAAGAATGGGCAGACCCAGCCCTTGTTTATCTTTGTCTTATCAGTCACCACATAACCCTGAGTGTCAGCACTTCACTGGTGGAGTGAGGTCATGTGCAGTGAAGCTGTCAACTGGGAGGAAGCAAAGTCTAGTGCATGGCACTGGATTAGTCCCAGTTTCCACCTGCAGAGATAAGGTTTGCAACCCTGGAGCAAAGCCTCTGCCTCTGGTCAGAGGCTCTTCTCTTCCCCTAAGTGACTTTTGAACCTTTCAGCCTCATTGCAGGGCAGGGATCGGAGTCGCCTGGACAATTAAGTTCTGAGGAATGTGAGATTTGGCAGGTGGGGAGAGGCTGAGGTTGGTGCCTACTCTGTGGAAAATGCAAGGAGCAGGTGACTTTTCCAGGTGCTGTTTGGTGCCAGCTCTGCACTGACCAGAGCTCTGCTGCTTCTCAGAAGTCTAGGGGGTGACAGAGGAGTTTTCGGAGGAGATAACTTGGTTATCTCCATCTCCTGGTTATCTTTATCCAACCCTGGCACTGTTCATTCCAGGATGGCTAAAGCCTTGAGCAACCTGCTCTGGTGGGAGGTTTCCCTGCCCAGGGCAGGGGTTTGGGCTGGATGATCTCTAAACTCCATTCGAACCCCTTAACTTGCTATTCCTGTTCTCCACTGCATCTCTCAGCTTGCATCCTGCAGAACTGTGTCCAGACCCAGCCTTCATCTACCTGTGCCAGCATGTTCTGTGAGGAAGCTGCATGCTCTGTGCAACAGGGTGTGAGGATCAGGACTGTGCAGCTTCTCCAAGAAGTCCTTGGCCTCAGTTTCTGGTTTGCACCTGAGAAGAAGGAGGTGCTTGCTCAAATTCCTCTGTCTCCCACGAGCTTTGTGATGATGTGACATGTCATAACCTTCTCTGAGCTGTGCCTGACTCTCCATGCCTTCCAGGAAATCCTTCCCTGCTCCCTGTAAGCTTCTTAGGGAGGAGGCAGAGCATGTCTGCAGGGATCACAGTGCAGGGAGTGTTTGTTTGATGTCAGGCTGGTCCAGGCTCTCTTGCCCTTGTGTGTAATTCCTCTTCCCACAGAGTAAACACAGGTTGATTTGCTCTGAGGTGGTGGCAGTTGTGCCACAAAGGAGATCACTGCAGAGCCTGAGCCTCTCTAGGACGACAAAGGGGCTCAGCTAAGAAGGTCTCTTGAGGTCAGACACACGTGTGGCTTTGATACCTTGTGCAGTTTGTGACTTTAGCAGCTCCCTGGCTTGCCTGGTTGTCACATGGCATTTAATCTTTCTGGGCTCTTGTGCTGAGCTGTTTTCTTCTGGAGCCTCCAACCAACCTTTTGGCATCCAACAAGTGCAGGAGGGCAGAGAGCTAAAGCTTGCTGAATAAATGGAAAGCACTTATGTTGTGGGATGAGGTGCAAGCAGAACCAAGGACACTGACTCTGAAGACACAGACTTGTCCTTGGCACTTCCCTCACACAGTATCAGGTATCCAGCTGCCTTCCTCCTGGGGCTCAACATTACTCCTGGTGTCTAACAACTCCAGCAGCTTGTAGGGAGGGTGAAAGCCCTGTCAGAGCCCATGAGGAAGAGGGAGATGCAGCTTCAGGGTGGTTGTGTCAATGCTGGATCCTATATCCTGGCAGGAGGAAGATGTAACCAGTTTTCCTGACCTCATTCACCACGTGGCTGCTTCCTTCTTTATTGGGAATGTTTGAGGCAGGGATTGCTGCCCATATATCTCCAATTCCAGGTGAATAAATACCTGCAGGAGGTGTTGAACAAAGGCAACATGAGACCTTGCACAGGTAAAGCAGTGAAGCACCCCCAGGTTGATGCTCATGCTGGGATGACAAGCTGTTACCCTCTTTTTATTGGAGCCCAATGCCATGTTTGTTCTCCATGGCATTGCTTTGATGCTTGTTGTTCTTCTCCACCCCTGCAGGCAGTTTCCAGGATGTGGGAACATTGTGACATTCTCCCAGTTCCTGTTTATAGCAGTGGAAGGATTTATCTTTGAGGCCAACTTTGGGAGGAAGAGACCAGCCATACCCATAAGGTACAGTCAAGCCAAGGAGGTATCCACCATCTCAAAAAGCATTTCATAAAATGACTTATCCATTTCTCCTATCCAAATCCTATCCCAGCATTTGTGGAGCCACACTGAGATCCTGTCAGGCCTGATGGACTCGTTTATCTGGAATTCTTAATAGGGAATTGCCATCAGATCCTTCCCTGTCAAAGGATTTTGCACAGTGAAGGGTTTGCTGTGTTGAAAGAGGTTTTATCTCTCTGAGGTTGGGTGTGGGAGGAAGAGGTTTACTGGAAACCTGGTCAAATTCACTTGGGATTTCTCCATCAGGGATGAGCTTGTCTGGGCAGTGGCATGACATGCTCAGTTAGTGGCTGAAGTGAAGTCTGGAGGGTTTTTTGGGTTCCATAGCAACTGAAGTTCTCTTAGAGCAACTTCAGTGTGTGGAGTCTCTCTAGCTGAGGTGTGGAACCATGGGAGTGTTCAGCCTGGACTGGAATGGTTTCTCCTCCCACTCAGGGGAGTGATTCCTTCTGGGTTCCCCTCAAACCAAGCCTGGCCTTATGCCTCTGGAAAGAGAGAGCTGGAGGAAATCTATGCTAAAAGATCCCAGCTGGGGAATACTCAGTTCCCCTTTGCTTCTGGGATTAGCTGTTCCCTGTGACTCTCCTCCTGTATCCAAGGTGGTTTGATCTCCTGGTTAGTCCTAAGAGCCACGTGGGCTCCTGCTCCACTCCAGACCTTCCCATGCAACCCAGAATGATTCCCAAGGTGTCTCCCATCATCCCAGGGAGGTACCTGCACAGCTCTGAGCTAGTGCTTTGTGTTTCAGGAACTATTTCATCATGGTGGCTATGTTCTTCACCGTCAGTGTGGTCAATAACTACGCCCTGAACCTCAACATTGCGATGCCACTGCACATGATCTTCCGCTCGGTGAGTCCTGGCCTGGCAACCTCTTCCTCCTCTCTCCTCTCAGCCCTGCACACACTGTCCCTGCTCTAGAATTTCACTGAGGTTGGAATGGAGCTCAGAGATCATCCAGCCCCAGCCCCCTGCCCTGGGCAGGGACACCTCCCACCAGAGCAGGTTGCTCAAAGTTTCATTCAACCTGGCTTTGAACACTGCCAGGGTTGGGGCAGCCACAGCTTCCCTGGGCAACCTGGGCCAGTGTCTCACCACCCTCACAGGGAAAACTTATGCCTGAGATCTCATCTTAATTTCCCCTGTTTCCATTTCTCCCCATTGCTCCTTGTCCTGTCCCTGCAGCTCCTACCCAAGGGTCCCTCTGCAGCTTCCCTGGAGCCCCTTCAGCTCCTGGCAGGTGCTCTGAGCTCTCCACACAACCTTCTCTTCTCCAGGCTGAGCAGCCCCAACTCTCTCAGCCTGTCTTTGATTAGGCAAATGCTACTAAAATGCATCTTCACTTCAGTGTGGATCATTGTCAGGCTCTAACACCTGTTAAAACCAAAGGAAATTATGCCCAAGCTGTTGGGAGTAACAAAATCTGCTAGGTGAGGACTGTTCTCCCACAACACATCCTGAGGATGACATACCTGGAACAAGATGTTCCTTCTCATTCCCACCCTGTCAGTCTTCCTGATCCTGTTCTGCCATTGGTGTTTTGGCATTACTTCCACTGAGTGTTCGGTGTTTCTCTGGGATGAGTGTCCAGGTCTGAGGAATTTTGTCATGCTGACCTCCTTGTTTGTTTTTCCCTATTTCCCAGGGTTCTCTCATAGCAAGCATGGGCCTAGGCATCATCATTCTGAAAAAAAGGTAAATCACAAACCTCTTCCTCATGTCATCAGGGAATTCTCTGCCACTGAATCCTGATGGGTGTTTGTGCCCTTCCCTTTCCTCTGAAACATTTTAGTGATGGGCAAACTGGGACACAGAGTTGTGCCTGGACTAGAGGTTGGAATCTGTCCCTGTCCTGCATTTCTACTCCTTCCCTTAATGCAAACATGGACTGAAAAGAGATTTTTGCCTTTTCCATGACTTGTAGCCTTCTGTGTTGGCTCTTCCCTCTTGACTGAGGCTGGTGCTGTTCCTGATGGATGCTGTACTGGATCTGGCTGGGATGGAGTTAACTGTCTTGCTAGCAGCCCATCTGGTGTTGTGTTTGGGATCTGTGGCTAGAGCAGTGTGGATACCACACTGCTGTTGTGGCTGGCACTGAGCAGTGCTTACACAGTGTCAAGGCTCTCTGGTTTCCCAGGTTTTCCCAGGCTAGGGGTGAGATGGGATGAACTTGGACAAATCCATGCTTCAGATGCTTCTCTCCATGTTGCAGTTGACCCTCCCAGAGTTAGGCAGTGGTTGTGTGCCCATTATCCCAGAATTACACTGGTGTGATGGAGCAAAATGTGCTGCAGGGAAGCAGTGGATGAGCCATACAAGGCTGAGCTGTCATTGACATCTCTCTCCTTCCTCCCCTGTGCAGGTACAGTGTGTCCAAATACACCTCCATAGCTCTGGTGTCCTTGGGGATCTTCACCTGCACTTTCATGTCTGCAAAGCAAGTGGTAAGGACTGGAAAGGGCCTGAGGTCGTAACTCTCTCTGAACCTTACTGACAGCAGGAGCAGCTTCATCAGGAATCCCTTTGCCTGTTAATGGACAGACAAGGTGTCTCCTACCTCCAGATCTGCTCCCTGAAAGCTCTTTTTCCTGATCCTGTGGTTTGGAGGGAAAGGATGCACACATATATGGGGTTTAACTTAATTCCAGGTGCATTTTAGCCTCTTCAGGTTGCTTTTTGCTGGGAATAAACTTCTTTTTTCTTTGCCTCAGAGATGAGAGCAGAAGCTGATTTTTTCCTTGCCCTTCCTGTGCTGTGTTGCAGTTAGGAGCAAGGTGAATTTTAAACAAAGCTTAAGCCTTCACTCTCTTTATCCCAGAAGAGATTATTGGCTTTCAGGCTAGATTGTTCCAGACCTGCTGTTATCTGACCTGACCCTTGAAATAAAGTGTCTGTGTTAGGAGAACAGGAGGGAGTGAAGCAAATCCACATGTAACACCACTCTGGGCTTTTCCTGGGGCAGCACCTCCAGCCTCATCCTGTCATCTGATGACAGAAAAACGGCATAAAGTGGTGGCCAAGTGCAAATTGGTTGCACTTAATCCACCTCTGAGAGATTGGAAATGAAACAGAGCTGTCAAAGCTCCAAATTCCCCATCATTTAAGAGCTTTCTTACTCAGAATGTCTGAGGAAGGTCTGGGCTGTGCTCTGTGTTAATCCAGATGAATTCCCAGCAGGGATGGGGCTGTGGGATGGTGCTGACAGCTGTGGCAAAGGTGAGTAATCTCATTTTCCCTGAGCCACAGTAAAAGAATGGAGGGAAATCAGGTTACCTGGAGTTTTAGCCTCAGCTGAGAGCACCTATAGGCTTGGCTTCCTCAATGTCTTGACCACAAATCAGGTTTTAGCTCTGGTTTAGCACTTGAGTGGGGCTTGGCCAGAGCTCTTGTCCTCATAGGGAAGGTGCTCCAGTCTCTGCTCAGCTCCGTGGCCTCCTCTGGCCTTGCCCCAACAGTTCCATGTCCTTGTGCTGTTGGGGACACCAGAGCTGTGCAGCACTCCAGGTGGGTCTCACCAGAGCAGAGGAGGAGAATCCCCTCCTTGGCCCTGCTGCCACACTCCTTGGGATGCAGCCCAGGCCTGGGTTGTCTCTAGACTGAGCTCACACTGAGCTCATGGGGAGTTTGTCACCATCACCCTCAAGTCCTTCTCCCTGGACTGCTCTTAATGACTTCTCCACCCAAGCCTGGGCATTTTTTTCCAAAAATCCACTTTCTGGATCAGCCCTCAACACTTTTCTGCTGGAATCTGGTGCATTCCCTGCAGCAGAGCAAAGCAAACAGTTGCTACCACATCTGTTCAGCCCAGAGTGAGGTCCAGGCAGGGCTGGGGAAGCTCATGGTGACTGTGTTGTGTCTCCCTTCAGGCATCTGACTCCAGTGCAGATGATGAGGACGGACTCCAGGTGTTCCTGTGGTGGCTGCTGGGTATGTGAGTGCCATGTCCTGGGATAATGGCAAAGCTCAGCTCTTTGATTTCTCCTTGCTCAAGCTGGAGCTGATGCTGTGAGATCCTGAAGAGGCTGCCTGGAGCTGTATAACCATTCATATACCTGTATCTGTATGGTATCTCTGTGTATGGTCTACATATCTCCAGGTATCCCCACCTGGAGCTGGTCAGGTGTTCATTCAGCACAGGATTTCATAGATGAGGCTTTCAAGTCTTGGCCTTGAGTCTGGTTTTATCCCTCCAGCTTTTAGGTCTTTGGGGGAAAACCTGGGATTGATGTAGTAGTGGCAAATGAGTGTATCCATAATATTCCAGCAATTCTTCTTGCCAGGGCTAAGCTTTTTTAAAGAGGTCTCTTGGCACCTCAACCTTTGTAGTAAGCCACCTGTGTCCCCAAAATTGATAGAGTTTTCTTATAAAGTCTGAATAATTTGGCGTTTTCCACTGAAAGCCAAATTTTGGGAGGCTTCAAGTAGGTTTCAAGGTGTTTTCCTGGAGCAGAGCTGCAGAGCTGTGCTTCTCTTCCAGGTATTGCTGCACTCACCTTTGCCCTCCTGATGTCTGCCAGGATGGGGATCTTCCAGGAGACACTGTACAAGCAGTTTGGGAAGCATTCCAAAGAGGCTCTGTTCTACAATGTGAGTCACTGGGGCTTTCCTGCAGCTTTTTCTGGGCAGGTAGAGATGCTCCAAGAGTTTTTTCTCCTCCCACACTGGCATGGGCACAGATCCAAAGGATCACATGCTTGAGCAGGGAGGAATGTGCTCTCATCCAGCTGGGGGAGGTTGGTTTCCCAGGAGGAGAAGTGGGATGGATTCACATCATCTGGTATAACATCTTGGCTTTGTTTCTCTCCCCAGCATGCATTACCTCTCCCTGGCTTTCTGCTGCTTGCCCCGAACATCTACCACCATGCAGTCCTCTTCAACCAGTCTGGTGAGTGCTGGAACCTTCCTGCCCTCTGGAAAATGCTGTGGGAAGGTTTCAGACCAGCAGCTGTGTCTGCCAGGCTGTTCTCTTGGGATATTAAAGCCCTTGGAATTTTCAGGAAGGAAGTCCTGGCTGGGAGGGTGGTGGACACTGGCACAGGTTGCCCAGAGCAGCTGTGGCTGCTCCATCCCTGGGAGTGTTCCAGGCCAGGTTGGATGGGGCTTGGAGCAGCCTGGGCTGGTGGGAGGTGTCCCTGCCCATGGCAGGGGGTGGGACTGGATGATCTTTAAGGTCCTTCCAAACCAAACCAGTCTGGATCCCATGATTAAAGCCCAAGTCTCTCACTAGTGCCCACACATACACCTGTTAGGCCAAGCCATGTTGCTCATCCAAAGGTGACCCATGGGGAAAGGAATGGGGTAGCTCAAAAATGGAAGTAACAGGACCAAATCCTCAACCCCAGGTGTAAACATGGACCTGTTGGGTTTTGTTTTGCTGGTGCTGCAAAGGCTTTGCCATGGGAGCACTGTCAGCTTCTTGGAGCTGCACAGGGATTCACTCAGGGGGAACAGCAGGAGCATAAAGTAAGACACAGCTTTTCTCTTAATGTCTCTTTCCTCAGCCTGATTCTTTGTGCATCATCTGTTCTACCTTTTCAAGCAGAAACCTCTGAAAATTCTCTTGTATTTGTCATTTAGAACAGGATAACTCCCCCAAAAATCAACCTGTGCCCACACATTGCTCTGCTTGAGGCAGCAACAGCCTCCTGAGGGTGCAGTGAGTCCTGGGTCATGGTCAGTCCTGCATAAGAGAATCCCAGAATCAATCAGCTTGAAAAAGACCTCTGAGATCATTGAGTCCAACCCATGACCTAACACCACCATGGCACTAAATGCCATGTCCAATCTCTCCTTAAACCCCTCCAGGGATGGTGACCCCACCACCTCTCAAAAAGAGGGAGACATCTCTCCTTGTTTCTTGTTGCCCTTGCAGTGACCTTGCTCGATCCTCTCTCCCCACAGAGCTGTTCCAGGTGCCAGTGATCGGCCTGACCCTGCCAATCATGTGGTTCTACCTCTTCATGAACGTCATCACTCAGTATCCTTCCAGAGCACAGAGCTGCCAGGGGGTCGGACAGGAGGGATGGGGTGGGTGCTGAGTCCTTGGAGTCTTCCCTGCATTTGGGAGCTGATGTAACTCAAAAAATACCGGAGATGGAGAAGTCTGGGTTTAGGGTCCTCCCAAGGGAAGCCAAGGTTCTTCAGGGCCTGCAAACCCTGCACACTGTCAACACCTCAGCCCCAGCTGCTCTAGTGGAAGAGTTTTGCTTCCACAGAGCAGGCTCGGGGGAGTCTGGGAGATCTGGGGTGTTCCCAGGTTTGTAGTGTCTGATCCACCTGTCTGTAGATGTAGAAATTCTGGAGGAGAAGGGAATTTTATTCCCTCCATACTAAGCTATCCATTGCCTGATCCTTTTCATGGTACACTCCCTCTGGACTCAGCACTGGGGAGGTCACACCTTGAGTGCTGTGTCCAGTTCTGGCCCCTCACTGCAAGGACACTGAGGTGCTGGAGAGTGTCCAGGGAAAGCAATGGAGCTAGGGAAGGGTCTGGAACAAAAGTCCTACGAGGAGAGGCTGAGGGAACTGGAGGTGTTTAGCCGGGAGAAGAGAAGGCTCAGCGAGGACATCATAGAATCATCAAGGTTGGAGGAGGTCTCTAAGATCATCAAGTCCAACCATTAACCTGTCACTGCTGGAACCCTAAACCCTAAACCAGATCCTCCAGTGCCACATCCAGACACCTCTCAAACACCTCCAGGGATGGTGACTCCACCACCTCCCTGGGCAGTTCCCTATCCCACTGCCTGAACACCCTCACAGGGAAAACATTTCTCCTCACATCCAATCTGACTCTGCCCTGTCTCAGCCCAAGGCCATTCCCTCTAGTCCTCTCCCTGCAGCCCTGGCAGGACACACATCCCCCACCTCTCTCCAGCCCTGGCAGGGAGTTGAACAGAGCCTTGAGGTCACCCCTGAGCCTCTTCTCCAGGCTGACCAAGCCCAACTCCCTCAGGGAGAACAACAGGGAAAATATTTTTCCTAACATCTAATCTGCACCTCTTATTGCTGTCTACAACTCCTTGACAGGAGGTTGGAGCCAGGTGGGATCAGACTCTGCTCCCAGTGAACAGTGACAGGACGAGAGGACATAGTCATAGGAGGTTTATGTTGGACATGAAGAAGAATTTCCTCCCAGAAAGGGTGATCAGACACTGGAATGTGCTGCCCAGGAAGGTGGTGGAGTCACCATCCCTGGAGGGGTTTAAGGACAGACTGGACACGGGTCTAGTTCCCATGGTGGTGTTAGGTCAGGGGTTGGACTTGATCTCAGTGTCTTTTCCAGCCAGACTGACTGTGGGATTCAGGGATTCCTGAAGGCCTGCCCAGGTTGCTGTTCCCTTACCTCCTGCCCCAGGTACGTCTGCATCCGCGGCGTCTTCATCCTGACCACGGAGTGCACCTCCCTCACCGTCACGCTCGTGGTCACACTGCGCAAGTTCGTCAGCCTCATCTTCTCCATCCTCTACTTCCACAACCCCTTCACAGCCTGGCACTGGCTGGGCACTGCCTTTGTCTTCGTGGGGACTCTGATGTACACCGAGGTGTGGAAGAGCCTGGGGCCCTTCCTGGCTCGCTGGAGGAAGAGGCCAAAGGAGGAGTGACAGCCAAGGACTCTCTGCTGGGACCTTTAATAGTTTTGTAGAGCAGAACAGCAGGGAATCCCCCCGAGGGGGGTTTTATAGCACAGGGGAGGTGTTGGCTGTGCCAAGCTCCTGGGAAACAAGGAACCTCCACTGGGAACTTACCTGAAATCAATCATGGAGAGACAATATAGTCATTTCTGCAATTATTTTTTTTGGATTCCAACATTTCCTCCAGGTTTTTCCATTCAAATAATGCTTTTGAAGTAAAAGCTGCCCCAGATCTCCATTAGGAGCCCAACCTTGTGCTGTTATCCACTCCTAGCTTGGATCAGTTGGCCCCTGAGCCTGTTTGGTGCCATCCTTTCCTGTCCCTGTGCCCACAGCTGATGGCTGAGGCCCAGGAACTGCTGGTGGTGCTGCAGGTTCTTGGTTCCAGTGGGAATTCTGCTGGTGGTGCAGCAGGTTGTTGGTTCCAGTGGAAATTCCAGCCTGGCTCTTCTCCTGAGTCCTTGTTCCTTAATCCTCACACCCATAGCTACAGCCTTCCAGTGGTTCTCCACTGGGGAATGGCTCCAGGAGCTGATTCCCAAGTCAAGCTCCATCAGTAGCAGCAGGGCCTAGTTGGGAGCCTGAGGAGAGCTAAAAGGGTGATGCTATGTGGACAGCAAGTGCCACCTTCTCTCAGAGAGACTGTCAAGTGCTCTTGAGGCTTCACCAAGTCCTCAGGTGTTGCCCTGACCCTTGACCAGCTGAGGGTGTTGTGGGTTCCTGCTGCTGTTCTCAGGTCCTCGATCCAGGTTGGTTTTCAGTCCCTTCCCACTTCTCCCCTCATCACAGGTGTGTTCAGTGAGTTACCAGCGGGTCTGTGCTGAGCTTCTGGTGGTTCCCTTGGATCCAACCAACCTCAGGGTTCAAATGATGCCAAGAAACTTAAAGGCCAGTTCAGCTGAGCTTCTTTCTGCTGCTGTGGGGCTGCTTTTCCTGTCCCTTCACCCACTTCTCCTCCCATCCCTTGGGATCAGCTTTGCTCATGGCATTTGTGTCCTGGCACAGGATCATTGTCCCTCAGTGTCACTCCCAGGTTGTGCTGCCAGTTTTGATCTTCTCATGTGGATTCTGTCCCTGCTTGGCTGTGACAGTTAAGGCATCCACAATGTCAACCTGCTTCCAGTATGGATGTGTAAGGATTATACTCCAGGTTTCCAAAGCCAAGAAAATTTGGGAGTGGAGATAAAGGTGGTTTAAAGAAAGGGAAGAGGATGGGAAAAACCCCAAGGTGAGGCAAAGGCAGACACTGACCATGTCCCTCCCTGGCAGTCCCTGAGCAATAACCTTTACAAAGCCTCTTCCTCTCTCTTTAGTGCTGATTTTTATCAGCTGTCTTGGATATTCTCCTTCCCAGCTCCTCACCCACCCATGGCCTAATCATTCCTGGGAGACAGAGGGGAGAAAGCAGGGAAAGCCTTGATGCTGCTGTGTTATCAGCACTGGTTTAGCCACACTGGAAACAGTTAACTCCATCCCAGCCAGAGCCAGTGAGGTGCTGACAGGACCTCCAGCTCCATCCCGAGATCCTGAAGGCTTTTCCTTTTGTATCCAAGTGTCAGCCATGGGATGTTGCCAAGGATTTTGCAGTCAGGGAGGCTGTTCCCATCACCTGCTGTAGGTCAGTTCCTTCTTCTATATGTTGGCAGAGGCTCCAGGAAGTACCCAAAGACAGGCAAAACCTTTATCCCTTGTTTTTAGCCTCGAAGCTATTTGCACAGGGCTCCAGCTGAGACCAGGAGGTGGGAAAGGCCACACAAACGTGGGATGAAATACTTCAGGGACAGTGAGGAACTGGTGAGCTCATCAGAGCTTCAAACACAACAGCAATGCTAGAGGAGCAAACTCCAGCTTGGTGGTGCTGCATCCTGGGCCTGGGATTGAGCAGGTGCCTGAGTGAGTGAAGACACTACATAAGCTACTCCCAGGTGTAACATACTGTACATAAACTACTCACCAGGTTGCTCTTTCTCTCAAGGAACTTGCATGTTGTCTCAAATTCCTGTGTGGTTTGGGCTTCTCTTTGTTTTTAACCATGTACTGAACTTGGTTTTCACTCCAACACATCGACAATTGTTGCTGTCAGATCTTTTTTTAACTTCACAGTGTGATCCATGTGGTTTTGGGATATTTATCATCCTTTTGAGGCACACAAGGGACAGAGATTCCCTTTCTGCTGTAGGAGAGCAGGTGAGTGTGCCCAGTCATGAGTCAAGGTCCATGTAGAAGGGCCTCAGTAGCCAGAAGTAGGACTGAAAACCCAAATGGGGCTACTGATTTCTTTGGTTTTGATGTTTGCTGTAGAGGTCATAGCACATATTTTTTAGCAGAGGCTGGAAAATGAGTGAGCCCAAACCCTCTTGGATCAGAGCTCTGGATCTGCAGAGCTCTTGGGTGTGCTGCTTGGGGTGAGGGTTGGGTTTTTAAAGCAAAATAAATATGTATCTATCCCCTTCAAAGTGTGTTGGGTTTGTTCTAGGCTTTGCTGCTGGTAACTGGAAGGTTATTGGGGCTTCAGAATCATGGAATCATGTAGGTTGGAAAAGTCCTCCAAGACCATTGAGTCCAACTGTTCCCTTAGCACAGCCAAGGCCACCACTGACCATGTCCCCAAGTGCCACATCCACATGGCTGTTAAATCCCTCCAGGGATAGTGACTCCACCACTGCCCTGGACAACACATCCCAGTGTCTAATCACCCCTTCTGGGAAGAAATTCTTCCTCATGTCCAACTAAACCTCTCCTGGCACAGTTTGAGACTATGTCCTCTCACAGTATTGAGTATCACAGAGTGTCCTGAGCTGGGAAGGACCCACAAGGATCATGGAGTCCAACTCCTGACCCTGCACAGGACACCCCCAACAATCCACCCTGTGCCTGAAGGGAATGAAGGCCCAGGGAATGAAGCCTCCTGGCATCAGTGCTCAGCCAGTAACCCAGAGCTGAGTCGTCCAGTTGCTTTAAAATCCAAACCAGCAAGAAATTATTCTGTGAACCTTCCAGAGCAGAGCTTGGTGACATCTCCATCCCTGCAAGACCAGAGATGTGGTGATAAATCTCAGCTGTCACTTCCCATTTAACACACCTTTCAACCTTCCTCATCTCAGAGCTCTAATGGGCACAGTTGTCCTCCAGCAGTCCTGGAGAATATATTCCTAATTTAACAACTCATCTTCCCCAGGCTGTGGCAGCTCTTGGTTTAATCAATCCTGAGCAGCACAACTCTGCTTTCAGCAGCTCAGAATCTTTCACCTCTCATTAAATCTGGGGTTTATGAACACTTTCACACTTCCCTCCCAACCTGGGAGGGTGGGAAAGAAGGGAGATCTTTTATCCAAG